CATATTTCAAATGTATATTACTTGTGAAAAGACCTTCCGAAATATATTATGTTTTTGACCTCGTGACCTTGAAGTTTAACCTACTTTTAAAAATTTTATCATTGGTTATAACTTTTGAATGAGAGAAGACAGGGCATTCATATTTAATATGTGCATTACCCGTGACAAGATGTTTCGGAACATGCTATGAATTTTGACCTCTTGACCTTGAACTTTGGCGAAATTTTTAAAGATTTTTAATACTTGTGTTAACTTTTGAAAGAGAGAAGATAGGGCATTCATATTTGACAAGTGCATTTATTTACCTGTAACAAGAAAATTCCAACTGTGCTATGATAGTTGATCTCCTGACCTTAAAGTGTGATCTTATTTCCAATTTTTTAAAATTGTTGCTAATTTTTAAAGGAAAGGAAGTAGGACATTCATATTTGACATGTGCATTACCTGTGACAAGCATTTCCAAATGTACTATGACTTTTATCCCCATGACCTTGACCTTGAAGTTTGACCTAATTCTCAAAAAAAAATTAACATTGCTGATGACTTTTGAATAAGAGAAGATAGGGCATTTACATCGGATATGTGCATTTCCTGTCAAATGTTTTCTGGTCATGTATTCAGTATGTTTTTTGCAAATTGATTGTTCGTTTTGCATTAACGTCTTTTTTTCCCTTTTCGCCGCCCATAAATATTCCCATGAATTATATATTCTATAATCAGTGTACATGAATTTTTTATCTTGACCTCAAATACTTTTTCAAGTTATATATAGAGATATGATATAAGATTCCACTGCAAAAGCTAAAGGACATGCATAAATAGTAATACATGTATCGTTCGGAACGAGTGTTTCAGTCTTACAGACAGACTGAATGACGGACTGACAGACAGATCGAAATAAATACCCCGCATTTTGTGAATTTTGAGATAATAAAAAAAAAATAGATCGCCGGCTATTTGTAATGATACGATGCACTGTAACTGTCGTAAAATTATTCTCACACGCATAATTGAAAGATAGGAAGGGTCAAGCCCCCCCCCCCCCAAACCGTGAATAATTTTTGCGAGAACTCCTCTGAACCGTTTTTACTTGCTCCCATATTACTGTTTGAGTAGCCTCCTGGACAGCTTAAGGAATTTTTTAAAGGGGCCTAGACACAGATTTGAAGTTAACATCTTCTAAAATTTTCAGTATAATATATTTTATATGTTGCTAGAGCATTTCACGCCGAAATATAATAAAAGCGTGTTTAAAAACTTCTTTATCTTGAAATTATTAGAACTACGAGTTTCGGAACGCGTTTGATTGACACATATCCTTGCACTTTCAAGAAGTAAACCTTATCCGTAACACGTATAAAAAGTAGAAATTTTGTTGTGTATCAATGAAAAATAAAACTATAATCTAGAAAATTCCGAGTAAAAATGTGAGAAAGCTTAACCAACTCACCGATATTGTCGGTCCGTGCTCAGTGATGTGTGTCATTGAATTCTAAGAATATTCGTGTAAGTTCAATTCATTAAACTGAAGTTATTTTTTAAATAAAATGGAAATCTAAAATTGTAAACAATACAAATGTATCCAGGCCCCTTTAAGGGAGTTTCTTTTTGTGTGTGTGTGTTTTCTACATAATGAATTATTAATACTACATGATGTCAAACAATGTTTACATTTACATCATGTTTACGGTTTTCAGATGAAAAACAAAGCAGAACCGTGAAAAATTATTAAAACTTTTGTAGCAAATCAGATAACCTGTTTTAAAAGGTCGAACAAGATACGTAAAAAAGAGATATTTCTTTTTTGAATTTCTTGCTTGCAAATAAAAAATAACAAGTTCGCATATCCGCGCCCATATTCTTACGTCCAAGGTAGGAAAACGAAGTGAACATTCGATTAATGTCACATTAATTACCAATTCCATTTCTGTTGCTTTAAACGGATATGTTTTCATTAAACATAGAATATGACAAAATAGATATCATTAACTGCATTGTTCACTCCTTTCGTATAACAGATATTTGTACTAAACTTGGAATCTAAGTCAATTGTATTCAGCTTTAGTGAAGGCGTTACAGTATTCACTAATTTTTTTTTTCAAGATTTAAGAGTAATCTTGGGTTATCGTGACCTCCTTTTTCATATCATGGAATAAGTTTATTGTAAATATTCTAAAATGTTGAATTACAAAAGTAACGAGTCGTTCAAATGTTGTTTATGCAGTTCTCTCAAAGGATCTATAACATAACAGCTAATGAAATTAAATTTAATTACAATAGTAGCCTTTCCTTGTTGGCGTGTCCGCGAGTAGCAATATCACCTATACTCAATCATTAAAAAATAACATTTTCAATTTAATTTCCCGCTCACAGCATTGTCTTGGTACAAACAGCTTTATCCATGGTTGCAAACAGATGTTCGGATTTATTTCTCTAAATTATCATTGTTAATTATTATGTTTTGTTATCATTTATAAAAACATTGTACTAAATCCTTTTACTTTTCGGTAGTTCTTGGACATCCATCAACAAGAAAAACGTCTATAGGACATGAAGGTACATTTGTACTGGAAAATAAAAAGTATATACCTTGTTTCTCAGGTCAGAACTACATGCAGTAGATATGTTGACAGAAATAATAATTTTCATATTTTTTATATACAAAACTATATATAATACCTTAAAGTTGAGTCGTTGTCTTTGGTAGCATGGTATGTTGTGTTTATTCATCCTCTCTAACATATAAGGGAAGTCTAGAGCTTGTTGTTTCAAGTTCCAAATTAATATATATATTTTAATTGGAAATGGTAGAAATGCTCACATATAATAATCTGTGAATGGAGTTGTATGAAATAATTAATCCTTTATGATAATCAATAACATAAACTAAAAGCAAAGTTAGGAAAAAAGAGAATTTCAAGGTCATAAAAGATAAAAAAAAAATGACATGGATAAATTAATATCAGTGTATGAAGTTCGACTTTTGACAAATTTAAGCAGAATGGTCAAAGTTATCCTATCTTTCATAAAAAAAAATTGTAGTTGCAAATAGTTTTGTCAAGGCTATATGGAAAGATGAAGGTGGTAACAGGGTAAACTATAAAAAAAAAAAAAAAAAACAAACAAACCATCACCAGAGTTGCACGTTACAAAATTGGTTGCTGCCTTGTGTGCAGAAAAGCATGAAGAGGATTGTACAGAAAAACATGAAGAGAATAGTACAGAAATACCATGACCCAGTAGATTCGTTCTTACCAAAATGTATCACTATGAGGTACACCTGTATGATAAAAATATCTTGAACAAACATATCTCTTATAAAGTAAGCTAAACTCAAAATGAGGAATTATTTATAGTGAGGTCAAAGTGATAAGAAAGGTCGAGGTCAGAAAATTATAATACAGTTGAAAAGCTCTAGTACGTGAGTTTTGATTGAATTTCTTTGTTCTTTGAAAGTGGGCTAATCGCAAAATGTGACGGACACACGAATGAAAGACAAATATTTCAAATACTAATATGCCCCGGCCATATTCATGGTTGGGCATAAATTTGCTGACGAGAGATAGTGTATATTAACAGGAGAAAGGTATAAAACTATTTTGTTTTTGTTACAACATTAACTGAAACAATTTCGTTTTGTGGCAAATAATTTAATTTTCCATTAATTGGAATTACTTTGCCGAATGCATTCCCTTCTAAAACAACCAAACTGAAACATGTACATTTTTTTCCTATCGAAATTTAATCTTGTTTGATTTGGTTTAGTACATGTACAGTGTATAACTTATTTTCCTGTTTTATATCATTACTGACAATACTATTGATCAGCTGGTAAGAGTGAAAAGTAGCCGCTCTCCACACTTCAGAACTGCTTTGGAATATCTCATTTTCCCTTGTAACTGCTGATAAATTTCCTTAATCAGAACTCTTAGTAATAAATACCAAAGACACTGCTTGGACAACCTTGAACACTACTACTTTTTAACTTATACCATGGAAATCGGTTGTGGGTAGTGGACTTGGTGGAAAATATGGAGTTTCACTTAACACTTTTTTTCTTCTGATTTAGAAAGTAAATTTAATGAATCCTCCGGGAATTGGACTATAAAGATCCCACTGGCAAAATAGAATGCAGGTCCGTTATTTCATCTGCTTGTAGTGATTTGCATAGCAAAAGAAACTGCGGATCAAATGCCCTAACAATATCAAGCTAACACCACCATCCCCGAAGTCATAAAAAAAAATGTGAAATAGACCCCTGGTCAATGGTTGTATACAATATCATACGCAGATTCAAGTTTAAATTCTTTTTTTCAAAAGGATTAAATTTTTATTTTGACTTCTAATATATTGAATTTTATCATAAAACATTAACTTAAGTCAATTCGCACATGAATGTGGTCCAAATTATCGGTCAACTAAAATAAACACTTTTTCTAGAATGTGTCCAAATTCGCAAAACAGTCAAAGTGATGTGGTTCCTAAACTTTCAGATCCTTGAGTATGTTTTTGAACACGACCTTCTAGTGATGCATGCAAATTGATGTTGGTGGTGAAAATTTCGTTGAGGTATTTACAATGTTGGTGATGAAAATTTCGTTGAGGTATTTACAATGTTGGTGGTGAAAATTTCGTTGAGGTATTTACAATGTTGGTAAAAAGATCTATCAAAGATAGATCCAGCAAATTGAAACTTTTGAACTATAGAACGATACCTGTTTTTAATTCTATTATTACCGAATTAATTTCTGTAAACGATGTTTTGCTTACGTTCATACATTGCATAGATCCTACGCCAAACTGCACTTATTTATTCTAATTTCCTTTGTTTACAAGAGATTTGAGATTTTTTTAATTTTGTTATCAGAATTTTTGCTAAAGCTACTAAATCACTGACCATATCTCTTTCATAATAGTCTCAAAAGTTTTAAAGTGTATGAATAATGTACTAATCTGTAATAACACAGTTACAATGATTTTGAAAAATATACAACCGGATATGTAAATGTTTTGTGATTTTATTTTATCAATTTTTTCACTTTTTATTACAGGAAATTATAACTATTCAATATATTATGTAAACATATCACGTTGGAAGTTTATCGAAAAACAAAAATCATATTGCTTATGTTCACAAAATACAATGAGCTTTCAAAAGCGAACTATTATTAGATAAGCTCTTATTAACCTTGTCAAAATAACTGTGTGTATCATTCTCTTGCTTAGTTTAGAATAAAAAGCCCATAACGTAGAAACTGTTACACTGCTGAGTTTGCTTCGTTTATTGGGTTGCCACACATTTCACACTCGCTCCGATCAGAATGATTCGCGTAGGTACATTTGGAACATTGTCTGGACGTCCATCTTACGTCCATTGATTTCGATGACGGTTTTATGTCCCTAACATCATTAGTCTTACTGCAAACTGAACAAATAAGATTACCCTTGGGATTTCGAATGGTACAGTATGGACAAACCCATCCACCTTCATTTAGACTATGACTGCCAAAGCGACTACTGCTGGAAGGAGACACTTCGGTATCTGTTGAAATCTTTCGCGCTACAGGTGCTGAATGGCTGAAATTAAAGGGTTGGGTAGTACCTAATCTTTCGTATCTCATTTCAACTATATCGTTGTAAAGATTATCACCACCAATCCCTTCTTCTTCAACACAAACATTTAAGTTTCCAGTGGCATTTGAAGGTGATAATTGCTCGTGAGCGTAGGATGTTTGCTGTGTGGGCTTATTAAGCGATGACATTTTAGACTCGGCGCCCCCAGTGGCTCGAGTGACAAGTTCAGATCGATGACTGGTATTTCGAAAGCTACTTCCACCGACATAACCAGAATCTCGATACGAGGAACTTTCCTTTCGGATAATCCTCTTTTGCACTTCATTTTTGTCATTTCTACTGTCCTGTGTGAGCCGATTTGTTAACTGTTCTGGCTGCAGAATGTCTCCACGTAGTCCCCAGTTATATTCTTCACCGTATCTTTTTCTTAAACTTTCCGTAACATATGACCACTCGTCGGATCCTTTCTTCGGTGGTGGTTCTTCCGTTTTCACTTTCTCTTTGCTCACTAACTTTAAACTCGCCATCAGATGGTCGTCGAGCGTTCCCTCTTCGAAGTTCGGACCTAAATGTTCATACTCCTTGTGTCCATCGGCATCATCATCTATAAAGGGAATATCACGATGACCCGTTTTTTCTTCAGATGGAGAGAACGTAACTGAATTATGGTCAACCTCTGTATCGTTTCGGTACTCCGATCCCGAAGAATTTTTTAAAACCGGGTCTCTTTTGTTTCCGTTCAATATTGTTATAAATTCTTCTTCACCTCCGGTGTATTTTTGCCTCAAAGTGAAGACATCACAGGGCCTTAGTGGACTTTCGAGTCTGTTAATTATTTTTGATACTAAATGGCATTCAACAGAAGCTACAATACATTCAAATCCTACGGAGAGAACAACGTCTTGATTAAGTCTACGATTCAGTAATAAACAATCTGCTGCTTCTACATAACCAATTAACTTAAATACTTCTTCTGATTTTTTCAAGTGCGACTCGATCTTCGTTTGATAATATCCGCAGTATTTCTGAAAGAAACAACATTTCCAATCATTCCACGTCAGTGTACTGTAACTCATATTCCTTTTAAGAAAGGTGCACATTCTTTATTCAAAAAAAAAAAAAAAAAAAAAAAAAAAAAAGGAAGAAGAAAATTTTGGCGGCGAATATAACCCTCCCCCATATATGTACATTAAATAATATTAAATCTGGTTATATCTCATTTCAAATTATAAAACTTGAAATAAATATTACTTGAAAAAATACTTGAAATAAACTGGAAACATACATGTACTTCTTAAGAAACCGCATCCCCATTATACGTGTACACAGTATATAATTCTTTGCCAGATCGTCACCCATATCATATTTAAGGCAAGCAAACGTTACCACTATCGTCTCTATCATCTTAATGTCGATGAGAGTTAAATGACTAATCAAATTCTTCTATACTTACTCGCATCCTCTTAAATTCTGGTTTCCAAGAATTTTTCCATATTGTAACTAAATAAAATTCTAGCCTTTCGAATGCCTCTGAAGCCTTCTCTAAACTGAAATCACTTTCGGTGGAGCTTAAGTCTAAAATTTTGTGAAATTCGTGAAAAGAGAATTTCTCCTCTGGTCTGCAAAGACTAAGATATTCAATAATGATGTGAAAGATGGACAGCATGAGGTGTTTGGTTGGGCGTGGTTCTTCCTCCTCTTTTCTGTATTTATTATAAACATCTTGAGCTCTGTAACGTTTCTCCATCGCAAAAGCGCTTTTCAATTCACTCCATCACCAACCATGTTAATCGGGACTGAATGTCTGTAAAAAGAGCATTAAAAACAAAGTAAAAATATCGGGAAACGGAACTGTTTTCATTTTCTGTTTTAATGTAACCTTCCTTGCACAGAGAAAGTCTTTTTATTTTCTATCTATAAATTTTGAATTTTCCTTTCTATTCGGGAGCACTGGAAGTTCCGGGAACTATTTCAGCCAAAAAAAAAAATTATCACATTAATGTAAGTCACAGCTCGTCTCTTCTTATAATATTCAGGATAAGATAAAACCGTAACAACGTTTTCCGAAAACGTTTTCATTAAAATGGCAGTCATTCTGAGAACGACATTCCCAGTACCAGCCTAACACAGGAACGCAACATGAAACTGAAAACTGAATCAGCATTTTCTGAAACATTCGAGTTCTAGATTACTAGATGTAAGTTTTCTTTTATTATTAACACGGTTTCACCAGAAACTGAGCATCTTCATTTCTTGAAGTATCTGGGGTCATTTATCTAATAAGCAAAACATTAACAAATCACTTGAGATTATTTAAAAAAGTTATCTTTTATCCCTTCTTACATAATACTGCATTTACAAGAATTGTGGTAAAAGAATGTGGCAATAAAATTTCACTTAATCAATAAAAATATTATTTAAAGTCTTATTTAACAATATTTGTCTTCTTTTTTTTCACTTAAAACAGTAAACTCGTGTATTCGTAAAATTTTCAATATTTGTTGAATGATTTTGAGTATTTAACTGTTAATGTTAAAACAAGGATGTTTAACTTTTTTGAATTGTACTGGTTAAATGATATTTATGTATTGTTGACATACTTAAAAAAGTTTATCTTCCTTGTACTAGTTAAAATACAGGCCATACATAATGTTTCTAAAAATTTACAGGATATATTAATAAAACCACATACAGGAGTGCAAATATATAATTTTAATAATTTAACATTACCTGTACTTGTATTTATAAGAAAACAGGCACAATTTGATTACAAATCATTTTACTCAACACTTTTTAACTAAGTCATGCGCAGATCTAGAGGGGGGTTGGGGGTCCGGACCTCCCCCCTGGAAATTGCAAAGTTATCAAAAGTATGTACAAGCAATAAAAAATAACTTTGGAACCCCCCCCCCTTTAGTAAATGTGGACCCCACCACCAATACCAAGAAATAAGTTTTTTTCAGTTTAGGAAAGGATTTAACGTTTTGTTTTTGTTTTTTCCTTGCTTCTCCAGAAATTTCTGGGTTGGAAATTTTTGGACTGGGGTTGACCCCCCCCCCCCCCCCCCCCCAAACCGGGAAAAATTCCTGGATCTGCACATGAAAGTTTTTACAACATTTATTAATAAATTCAATATATATATATATATATATATATATATATATATATATATATATATATATATATATGTATTTACGTTTTTCCCCTCCCCCTTTTTCCCCTGGATCACTGTAAGACATTGCTGCTCAGAACTCAGTACAGTGCTGAATTTGGTATAGGTGACCGTATATTCCAGAATCAATTGATAAAATCAATGCAATATGTGTACATCATATACTTTTAATGAAATGTTATCACCTTAAGATGAAACAAATATTAATATTACAATTTCTTTTTTCCAGCAGTCTTACAGGTACATATTACTAGTCTCAATACATATCTAATGTGTCACATTGGTTATATTTATACAGCAGGAACATTCAACTAGGATTTTCCTCAGCTTTGAAAATGATGATATTTATAAAAATTGTCACTATGGAAACAATTATATTTTGTTTAAGAAAAAATTGATATACAAATTCATGCAAATTCAATTTTTTTTTCTTTTAAGTTTTCATTTGGTTTCATATTTATATATATATATATATATATATAGATATATATATATATATTTTCTTTTTATAAGATTATGAGATGGGTGTATACGTACAGGTTACCAAGGTCAAGCAATCTGAATATTAATTCTTTTAAAATCCATCATACATGTAATTAATTATAAGTGACAATTGATTTATAAATTGACATCAAGATTATTTGGAATATAGTTTATTAATTATTATTGGGGATGGGTATCTCTAATTATTAAGGATGGGTATCTACAATGTATCTCTAATTATTAGGGATGGACATCGCTAATAATTTCTATATCATGATTTTTCCCAAAAATATCATGATATTTTTACATGCAATCTTTACTTTGATTTCGAATGAATGTCTTTAATATTTCTAAGAAATATATTATAAAAACATAACTTAATTTTTTTCTTTACATATTAATAAAGCATGTTTTGATGCTAGCATGCCATTGTTTTACTGTTTTATAACATCTTTTAAATTCCGGTAATTGTAATTCAAAAGTTTGAACCAAAAAATTAATTATTTCCTGAATTTATAATTACAGTACATACATGTACTAAATACCAGCGTATTAGCCCCTGTATCATGATATATATATATATTGCACACTTAAAAATCATGATATACCGGTATACTGATAAAATTGAGCATCCCGTATTTTTATTATAAAAAAAATCTGGAATGAAATCGATTTTAATTGAAGCCAAGTCTAAGTTTATATATGTATATGCTAAGAAACAATTAATACCAGCAATAAAGAAAAGATTGTTAGCCACCATGGCTATAAGCATGACTTTATCAAAATACTTTATTTTGTTTTAGGCAAGGTACTCTCAAGTTTAAGCAACTGAATGGTGGTATCTTAATTAGAACACTTCTTCTTTACTTTGTCAAATTTATTAATAATACACATTTATGATGACAATAGAGAACTGTTACCAACTCCTTCCCTATAATTCAATCATTCATGATTCTTTTACGCAATCTTACTCAATGTTTTTTGTTACTTTATTTATTAAATGAATCAATACCCACACATTTTCATAAAAAAAAAATTTGGTTACAAATATGTTATTATCAAGATCTAGGTAATATTAAATACAAATTCCTCAAACAAGGACATTTTGTTCATACTGGTGTTTCCAGCATATTTAATGACACATTCTGATTTCCAGCACATTTGCATAGTGTAGAATTCAATACAATTATTGCAATAAATATTTTTCGGTGATTATTAGTATATCAGCACATGCAAGTAAACTTTTTACTGGAAAATTTGTATTGTTTCACAGATTTAAGGGTCCTATTTGTGACAGAAATATATCTATTACACTTTGGATATAAAATATTAACAAGTTCAACAAAAATTTCCTTGGTGAATTAACATTTTTTTATTTTGATATTCAGCAGTGAGAGTGAGATCCACCTATATGCTTTAATCAGATGATTTTGGGTGATTAATCAGATAGGAATTTACATTGGCAACCAACCTTCATGTATCTGGCCAAGTCCTTCGTAATAAGAATAAACAAATGCATTTTATAGCTAACAGGAAACACAAACGAATAACTTTGAATGATTTGTACCTTACCTTTACTATTAAAAGTGATTGATTATTTAAAGGGTGACATTTTAGCAAATCATTAAGGAAGTTTTCTTATTAATATGGAATTTCCTTCCAACTTTTAAACCAGGGGAGCTTTAAAATTCATGATAAGAAATAAAATTCATTGTTCATGTCTAAATGTGTCTCTTGAAGTTTTGCAGTCTTCATCAAACCAAAAAACAAAACCCGAGAAACTTCCTGTAACAAGACAGGTCTTTTTGTTTACATCTTGCCTTTTTTCCAAAACCCCTTACTGAACCCCCTTCAATACATGCCAGAAAATCCACTTTAAATAATGTTGATCATATCTCACAATTCTTGGGTCTCAAATTCTACTTTCTTTTTCTATTTAAACCTTTGGAATATCCTGGTGCATGTAAATTAAAATAAGTATAAAAATTAATGTTAATCAGATGGAACAGGTGAGAGGCTCGCATAAGGATTCACATGCGACATCAAACAGTCACTACCTTTAACAGTTAAATTGGACCGTTACTCGTTAATAGATGGAGAGTGAATGATATGGTAATTACCAAAACATAAAATAGCACTGGAAATATTCAACATACCTCTTGAAAAGTTATCAGTTACCTAAAATGAATAAAGTTCATCGTATCATGGTTTTTTCTTTGGAAATTCTCTCGCGGGGAATCCCCATATTATAATTATCAAGTCGTACATGAAAACTTTCGAGAAAATCAAACAACAAAATATATTGTTCGAACAGAAATGTTTTTAAAACCAAATCTGAAAACGAGTACTTTGATTGTGACATATTATATTTTTTGTAGTTAACTTGCTGAATACAATTTAATAATTTAAAAATAAAAAATAGACCGACAGCCCATCCTAATTTATATACGCTGATGACATAGGATTCCGAAACGCATATGATGATGTCACCAGTTTAAATAGTTATTACTAGACATTCATTAGGGACTAGGCAAAATTTATCACCATGATGGGACCGGTACAAAAAAGATTTCCCATTAAAAAAAATTACATGTCCCATGGCTTTCGTATTGAAAAAAAATATTTGTCCCATGCCATTAGACTTATAAAAAAGTTACTGTCCCATGGTTAAATCTTGATACGAGATTATTGTTACATTAAAAGTTTAAATCTAAAGTTTAAACTTATCTATAACTATCTCTTATCTAATCTTTAGATTTAAACTTTTAATGTTACATTATTGCAAAAAAAAAAAAAAAACAAACAAAAAAAAAAAACAAACAAACAAACAAACAAAACAAAAACAAAACAAAAAACAAAACAAAAAAACAAAACAAAACAAAAAACAAAAACAAAACAAAAAAAACAGAGTACAATGTTAACAATTACTTTTATATATTTACTGAAGGAGTCTTTCAGATTACAGGTATTTCAAACATTGAGTGAAATTTTAAGTTTAAAATATATTTTTTTCATTATAAATGAATTGGATCGAACAGCAGGCATAAATGCCTATAATTGTTCTATGAAAGTTGTCTGAATGGATGAAACTTGAGACACCATTCGTGTAAAATACATGATTGATTTTGGTTGTTTTAGAGATGTTACTCTAGAATTTGTTAGCAGTATATTTTGAATGATTTATTGAAATAATTTGTTTGTTCATGTTCATAACTCTTATTAACAATGTTTGTTACTTTGTTATTTTTGCATGCAGTATTAATTTGAAGATTTATGTTGCACTTCGTATCCTTTGTTTGACTTTAAAAGATATAATGACTTTTTGAAGAATTCATTTTTTAAAAGATAAAATATGTTTAAATATAATTAAATGTGTCTCTTGAGTGAAGTACTGTAACTCATTTAAAAAAGTGTTTGTCCCATGGCTACTTAATGCTAAAAAATGTTTTTGTCCCATGGTTTTCTTCCATGAAAAAATTCATTGTCCCATGCCTGTTTGTACCGGTCCCATCATTGTGATAAATTTTGCCTGGTCCCTTAGCTATATGCAGCTCTATTACACACGTATGAAAGTAGGTGTGGATCTCCCTCTGAATCCACACCCGAGAAAAATTCTTGGGTCCGCGCATGTGCTGTAAGACGAATGAAAATGAAAATTGATATTGCCACAAGTAATTAAGCTTTTCAAAAAAGCTTACCTAACTAATCAATATCTATAGAACGTATAAACATGATAAGTAATGAACGTTTCCGTCCTTTTTTTTTTGGGGGGGGGGGGGAGGTCGAAATATTTAATTACCTTATATTTTATAAAAGACTTTGTACAAAATATCATGATCATGATTTTTAAGCTTAACACTATCTGAAAAGTGAACAAAAATTATGTTAACATATCTATTGTTTGTATCTCAAACAACATGAATACAAATGGAATGTACAGTTCAACTTCATCCATGTGGATAACATTTGAAAGAAGTTAATTAATATGACAAGAATTTGAATAGCTTCAGAACTGTAGCGTTATGGTTTTATATTTTTAGTCTTTGACTATAACGCCAAACTCCGTACAGTTTCAATTCTCCACAGGACTACTTTCCCTACGAATATTGCCACTATGATATGGAGTTGTAGCGTAACGTAATACTGAGTTGACTGAAGCTTGACAAAACGTTACAGATCCCGTAAATTGCAAATTTAGTACAATTTACGGCGCAAGAATTTCTGCCATCCGACAAAAAATCCAAACAAGCGAGTTTATTGGTCTGTAGAGACAACTATAAAGGGTTAGGAGGTGGATAAAATATACAGGTTGGTTAAAAAATATGTCTAGAATTAGGAAGAGAAAGGTAGTTGATTGACCAATGCTGGAAAGTGGAGAAATTCTCCCCCAACCGTGCGCAGAAAATCTTGCATCTTATATGTATTACAGGATCTGTAGCGTTATGGTCAAATACTAAAATATAAAACCATAAAGCTACAGTATCTGCAGCTAGATTTTGAAGGTTCTTTAAAGGGTTTTTAAATTAATGTAACCGAGCAATTTTGGTATAAAACAAACATTTAGGACGAAGCGAGAAATGCGTTTTAATCCGAAAAAACTAAAGAACAATAAGAAATGGCCCCAAGGGCGATTGTTAAAGTGTTGCTAAAATTTACTTCAAATACTTGTGTGTACACAATTGACTCTTCATCGAAAGTAATTGATAAAAAGATTTTTTGAAATGTTTTAATGTAAGATTATGTAATGATATATAATTCTTGAAAAACCATGTATGTTTGGTAGACACTTAGTGGCTGGCTTGCGCCAAGACAGCAATGCTGGACAGCGCTCTAGTCTTCTATATGACAGAGCCTGTCCACTTTGTTAATAAAGGACAAGGTATGGTAACTACTGAAGCTGGCCCCTTATTTAATGTAAAAATCAGAACACATTTAAAATTGTGACAATTTGTAGTTAGAACTTATAATGATGCTTGTTTTAAAACAAGCACTAATTTTGATTCAAAGCTTACACGGAGGCCACAAGAGGGTGCAGAAGTACAGGACATTTTCCCGAATTTCCTCAATTCTGGTGGAATTTCGTCAAATCTGAGATACTTTCACCTCGGGAAACATAGAGCACAAGCTTGCCTATCTGAGATTTTTATACATATGATGCATCTGATACTAGTGTATGAAATATATAAATTTGGTAGATAGGCAAGATTGTGCTCTATATTTTCTGAAACAAAATGTGCTGTAAAATTGATGAAAATGTGCATAAAAATGAGAAAATTCGGAAATTGACATATTTCCAGACCTTCCTGTGACCTCTGTGTATCCCATTACTTAGAACCAGTACTCATTTCGTGGCAGGAGTGACAAAAGGTTTCTATTGATAAACTGTTGCATCATTCTAAAAGGCACCCCAAACCAGGGGCCAAAAAGGGGTCTACGCCTATCTTGTCCTTTGTCTCTTTAAACTGGAGGTCAGCATCTTAATTCCACACTATTAGATGCACAATTTAGAAGGTTATATTAATATGAGGTAAATAAGGAAAACAAATTAATGTAATTGATTTATGATGGAAGCTGTGCCTGTGTAAAGGTTACATGAATTAATTTCAACCGCACAGATGATCAAAAATGCCAAGGGACAGCTGAAAAATATGATAACTATTCATACTCAGTATTTCCAATTGTAATAATTTAAAGAAATGGACTGATATTTTTATGGAGTCTAAATTGGGGCGTGTTCTAGACAGATAACGATGTTTTCAAAAATTTAATGGAAGAAATAAGGACATATACATGTATGGATGTGCATGGTAAAGTTAAATGAAAAGGTAATCACAATGTTGTGTTTTAGATGCACAGCAAAGAAACACACCAGTAAAGTTAACCAAATGTTAACAAATGATAAAGAAAAGTGCATACAATTTCCCTCGTTGAAGTTGATGTCTATTGAAAAAAATACTGTCTGTCTGAATACAAAATTTCCATTTATTGTATTGGAATGAAAACTATAAATCTGACAAAATATTGCTAAAATGTGTAGAGAAATGTATACGAAAATTATTTACAAGAAATTATTCGATATGATAGGTTTACACTACTGCATGATTGGCGAGAGAGTACCAGAATTATCATGTATAACTGGCCAGTTCCTCCTCTTAAGAAGTTCTTCTCTCTTCCATTTACCAATATTAAAATCTTTATAAAGTATATGATGTGACTTTTGTCTTTGTTCCCAACATCACTTGTTGAATGGCGTTTTGTTTATGATAGTTAAAACTAATTGGACTGGTCCACTTATGGGATAAACCGGGAAATAAAATAAAAAGGAAAACTTAGTAAAATTTTATTCATTACTTTACTTTTGCCTGCCCATATGCGATGTGTTATTTTTTTTTAAATGGGCTAAATAAAAATTCTAAAGCTCGAGAATCAAACTTTATTTAATTCCTTTGAAGTTATCACATCCATTCAATAGAAAAGGCGCAAAGATTTACTCAAGACATTTGGCGCAAAATGATTGTGTCACTATATATGGACTGATCCAGTTGTATAGATTGATTGATTGATTTTATGTTGTTTAACGTCCCATTAGAGAATTTTTCACTCATATAGAGACGTCACCATATATACCGGTGAAGGGCTTCAAATTTTAACCTTTACTCGGCACTTAGGGCCATGAAGCAGCTTTATCGTGACAACGCCTACCGTAACACGGGGCCTCGGTTTTAAGGTCTCATCCGAAGGACCCGCAACTTTCACTTCAAAGTGCCGAGTGCATGTCAAAGGAACAGTTGCTACCCATTTTTTATCGACTTCGGTCAATCGCGGCCGAGATTCGAACTCACGACCTCCCGATCACGGAGCGAGCGCTCTACCGACTGAGCTACCGTGAACGATACCCAGTTGAATAGAAACGCAGAAAAAAAGTTTATATGGACATGTCCGTACAGGGAATCGCATGGAATGCATACAAAAAAGAACTAAAGAAAGTAAACACATTAATTTTCAGGAGTATTGCCAGAATGGAAGTGAAGTGTACGCAGAGAACAGCAGGGGGTCTGGGGGCCGCCCTGAGGCCCCCAGTAGGCCCAGAGCGAAGCCCTGGTGGGGGGGGGGGAGCGAAAACCCCAGAAGCTCCTTGGTTTTATCAAATATTTCAATCGCTCTCTTGCAGGAAATATCATGCTAATTCGCCTTTATTTTTTAAAAATATTTATTACATACATGTCATGTACATGCAGTGCCATTTTGCAAC